TCACATTATGCGAAAAAGATAGGCTATGAAACGGCAGGTACTGTATAATTATATCTCCAAAAGAAAGCCTACTTACAGCAGAAGAGATAGAAAGTGTCAGTGGGGTTTCAAGAGTAGAACCAGAGATACTTTTTATCTGCTACTTTCTACTTTTCTGTAAGTTTTTCCTCCCTAAAATAACAGGTAGTACTAATTTAAAAAAAAAACAACTGTTTAAAATGTCAAATGAGCCCTGGCTGGTGTGGCTCAGTTGGTTGAGCATCCTCGCATGCACAGAGAGGTCGCCAGTTCAATTCCCGGTCAGGGCACATGCCTGAGTTTTGGGCTCAATCCCCAGTAGGGAGTGTGCAGGAGGCAGCCGACCAATGTTTCTCTTTCTCTCTCCTTTCCTTTCTCTCAAAAACCAGTAAAAACATATATTTTTTAAAAATGTCAAATGAGCTGCAAGGGACATTACATGCTTGTCACATGGAGCTACAGGGCCCGGGGAAGCTGTCTGGGCAAAGGAGCCATAAACCTGGGCACCCAGTGAGCTTGCAGGTCTGGCACCCTCTTCTGCACCATCCCCCCCTTTTCCTTCTGGGCTCAGCCCCTGAGATGTTGAAATAGGAGGACCCTAACATGCTCTCTTGGCATTGCTCACCTCCCTGTTACCCTTTGTTTTACAGATGTCATGGAAAACAGATATTCTGTAAGTACACATTTTACATACTTTTTGTTTTAAATAGTCCACTGGACAGTGAAATATTTCCAGACTTACCCAGATTCTGCATTCCCACTAATTACACCCTGTACTGGCCTCGTCTGTTTTAGACCAGGAGCCCTGGGCCCATGAGATGTGGTCATTAGACCAGCCAGCTTTTCTGGGCCAGTTGTGATGTCAAATATTCTCTCCCACTGTTTCCATCATTACCTCTCAGCCCACATATGAAGGGAGACCCTGGAAGTCCCCTCCCAGAGAACTAGGGCACTTAGCTCCAAACAAGCCAAGTTCATACTTCCTGCTAGTCTAGGGTTCAGGCTTGGGAAGAGGGCAGTTCCAGGGGGTATGCTTGGAGGAGTGGGGCCTATGCCAGTCACCCCTACACACCAGTCCTCTGCTGCAGGGGACACTCAAGGCCCTTGCCCAATGAGGGATTCAGACCAGTTACCACTGATGAGAAAGCAAGGTGCTGATAGCTACCCCAAGGACTATGGAAACACAGAAGAGAGGTGCTTCATCCCACCTGGTTAGTGGCCTCTTTACCAAGGAAGGGCCCCTCGGATGGGCCATGAAGAATGCCTTGGCTTACAGCAGGGTGCAGGTGGAAAGATCAGCAGGAGCAAAGGCGTGAGGCATGGAGCAGTTTTAAGCAGCTCAGAATTGGAGAAGAGAGTGCTGGGGACCAGGGATGGGGAAAGGTAAGTTAGGGCTTGCATGTGAAGGACTGAATGCCTCATTAGGTTTCATTCTGTAAGAAACCGGATTTAAGAAACTGCTACTTGGCATGTGAGAAAGTTTAGAAGAAATGTTCAGACATCCAAGTTCAAATTTTGCAAAGACCCATCTCTCCCTGTCTTCCTACTCCCAGCCCTTTTATGAGCCACGCAGCAGTGCAGGAGTTAAGTTACCGGGCAGCTTGCATCTTAAGAGATGAAGAATTTGCCCCACTGAACTGCTCCTTTAAGGTCTGGGAAGAACTTTCAGGAAGATTGCTCGTCGCCCTTCCAGTGGGCCCCCGGCTTCCTTTGTTTGCCTGAGCCTGAATTCTTATAAAACAGAGAACTCATTATGCCTTTGACAGACAGGAAACCGCTGGCATCCCTATTGTGGAGGAAAGCTATCAATTTAAGGACAAAAGGAATGAAATGAATGTCTTTTTCTAACCTAAACCCACCCAGACTTCGGAAATCAGAGACTATTGCATGGGAAGGGCAGGGAGCCTAATTTATAGGTGAGAAAACTGAGGCCCGAGTTGCCAGAAAAGCCTGACCAGGGTTACCCAGCTAGTCCCTAGCAGAGCCAGGACTAGAATTTAGGTCTCCAGGCCCCCCTCCCCCTGGCCAGTCCATGACAGGAGACTCCCTCCAAGAAGGGATGTCACTGTCCCAGCCGTCACGGCCTCAAAAGAACGGAAAGTGAGACCGTTGTTCCACGGGCAGTGTGGGACCCAGATAAAGAGACGCTGCAGTAAACAGCTGTGTCCACCCAAGGCAAGTCTGCTGGACCTGCAGGACCGACTGACTGACTTTGTCTTCCATCCAAATGGTCTCTCTAGACAAAGGCTCCGAGCCCCAGGACAGATAGAACTTTCTCTTTCCCCAGAAGCTGGCCCATGAGTACAGAAACCTGCTCCCAGGATCCCCTGAGGGCCCCCCCATGGCTGGGCCTGCTCTCCAAAATACTCAAGCCTTTCGGGCGGGAGAGCAGGGGTTCCCAGGCGTTGGGAAGGAATTTGGAATCTCTAAGTGAAAGCATTTTGTTTATAAAAGACGCAGGTATAGTTTCCCTAATAATCAGCTGGTGGGTGAGGGTCAGGAGAAAATTAATTGAATTGCCCAGCAGGGAAATGGGAGGGGGTTTCCTTCCTGAAATCAAACCTGGCGATCATTCCCAGTTGTTTAATGGCCGTTGCTTCTGAAAACATATTGGAGGAAATATCTTAACAATGAGATAGCCACTTAGCCAAATACCAATTTAGTATTGTTTGACTTGCTTCAATGGCGCATTCTGACTTCATTTTCCTCTGCCATTTTTGCCTTGTTTATAAATTGTGTTTGCGGCCAAGGCAGACAGATAACATGAAAGAGAACACCCCGTCCTTAACTGAAAGGGGGGCGCGGGTCTGGACCTGCATGGGTCTCGGGATCTTGGAGAGAACTTTGCCTTTTTACTGAAGAAAAAAAAAAGAAAACAAAAAAAAGGCAGCTCCTATTTTCAGCCTATCTCCTTCCCTCCTGGGAGCCAGCAGGCAGCCAGGCTGCGGGCACTGCCCAGGAGCTGGGATCAAGAGACCAGCGGCAGTGCCAGTTCTGCAGACATCTGTTGGGTGGCCCTGTCGTCCTGAAGCCTAAGCTCCCTGATCTATACAATGGAGATAGTACTTAGGATCAGAGACACCCCCCACTGAAACTTGACCTTTCCCTTATTAGTCATTTATCAGCCATGTGACTTTGGGCAGATTTCCTAGGTTCTCAGGGCCTCAGTTTCCTCATCTGTAAATTTGAGACTTTAAGACCCCCACCCCTGGTTGTGGCAAGAATTAAACGAGCACCTGGCACAGACTTGGTTTATTGGAAGTGCTCACGAGGGGCACGGTCCAGAAGCTGGAGTAGAGATGCCGGGGGCGTTAGAAGCAAAATGACCTTTGGCCAGAAAGCAGGGCGGTTTCGCGAGTGGCTGGCGGCTGGCCTGTGAGCAAGCGTGGGCCTTGGGTGTGAGCGTGTTAACCTTTACTTAGAAATCCCAAGGCGCTGTTGACTGTGGCCCAGCCCTTCCTGTCCGGGGCCTGGTCTGACAGCAGCTCCCCAAGCACTGGCTTCCTTCAGAGAGGGGAGAGCAGAGGTGCGTGGGGAGGGACTCGGTCTGGGCCCCGCAGGAAGGCTGGGCACCAGGGTCACCCCTCCGGTGCAGCGGAGGAAATGGGGCGAGGGCAGCTGCCAAGGCTGGTGGGACTCCAGCCCCCTGGGGCCAGCACAGCTCTCTTGGCCCGCTTGCCAGGGTCCCTCCTGGCAGGGGAGGAGGCAGAGCCTTGGGCTTCCAGCTAAAGCCCCTCAGACCTGCATCCTGCTGCACCTCTGAACTCCCTCAGTTTGTTAGGACCTCTATTTTACGGTGGTGGTGTTTGTCAGTAATTTCTGGGATATAAAATGGGGGGGGGTTCTTGCATCCTCAGCATAGAGAACTGCCTGGGTAAGATGTGGGTCCAGTCCCTGGGGGGGGGAGTAGGTGACAAATACCATATGCAGCAGTTAGAGAACACTACAACCTTTATTCTTTTTTTTTAAATGTCACAAAACATACAGATGAAATTTACCATTTTAATCATTAAAAAATTTTGTTTATTGATCGATTTTAGAGTGAGAAGAGGGGGAGAGAGAGAGGAGAAAGAGAGAGAGAGAGACATTGATCTATTGTTCCACTTATTTATGCATCGTTGGTTGATTCTCGTATGTGCCCTGACAGGGGATGGAACCCGCGACCTTGGCATATTGGGACAACACTGTAACCAACTGGGCTACCTGGCCTATTTGAACCATTTTTAAGTACAATTCAGTGATATTACGTGCATTCGCATTGTTGTGCAATTACCACCATCCACCCACAGAACTTTTTCACCACCCCAAACTCAAACTCTGTGCCCCTTTAACAACACTAGCCCCTCTCCCCAGTCCCTGGCAACCACTGCTCTACTCTGTCTCTCTAAATTTGAATACTCCAGATACCTCACATAGGTGGAATCATACAATAGTTATTCCTTTTGTGTCTGGCTTCTTTCACTTAGCGTAACATTTTCAAGGTTGGTCCACGTTGAAATCTATCAGAATTTCATTTCTTTTTAAGGCAGAACCATATCATTTTAAAACATTTCAGTTTGGTCATTGGAGTTCAGACCTTCATTTGTGAAATCCAAAAACAGACCCAGAGATGGTCCGTCTCATGTCAGAGGCAGAGCTGGGGCAAGAAGCCAGGTCTCTGTGGACCTTCTTCTGCGGGGAGGTGTAGCACCCACGGGATGTAGTGCTGGGCACACAGTGGGTGCCTGAGGAAGGTGCTTGGTGGTCCTACGTGCAGCATGTATGTGGTGAGCGGAGGCTGCAGGCCCCGCAGGGCGGGCGCGGAGTGGGGGGAGTGAGTGAAGGCAGAAGCTGCCCCTCGGGGCGGCCCGTGCCAGCGGATGACAGCATTGCTTTGCAGTTCCTTTGAGAAGCCCTGCCTCCTGTCGGCATGCCTTTCCCCCAGCCCAGTCTTCAGGCTGGAAGGGTGTGACCCTGCCTTGTCTTGTCTCTTGTCACTACAGAAAACGGAAAGCTCCCTTGATGGAACTTAGGACTGCGAGAGCGGACACTCGTCCCCGGGAGGACATCCACATTCCAAGAAGAGCAGTCGATTCCCGATTCTGAGAGCTCTGTGCACTTACTTCTGAACCTGCCCTGCTCCCACTGAACACAGCAAGCCCTCAGGCCAAGCCACCAGTTTTTAAAGCCATCTGGCTGCATCTGTGTTGTGTGTAAAGAGAGAGAGAGAGGGGCCAGTTCATTCCCTCCCGGCCCCCTCCCAAGTCGGAGCGCCCGTGGGTGTGGAAAGGAGCAGAAGGAAGCTCAGAGTCAGCAGGCCATTGGGATATTTTGAAACTTGAATATTTTTGTCTTGTACAGAGATAAAGAACTTCTCCAAGTACCTTTATACACAGAAACCTGTTGGTTTTTTTTTGGTTTGATTTTTTTTTGTAGTCGATCACTTCTAGCAAATGGCCTGGCTTAGGGGCTAATTTTTTTCTTTGTCTTTGGTCCTTCAAAGGCCTGTAGTTCTGGGTAGTCCTTGTTCCTTGAGTGCATAGCACTCACCAGACAGCTGCACCCTGTCCCCTCCACAACCTTACCCCCCACACAAATGGGAAAACAAAGCTGCTTGGAAGCAACCCCATTGATATGTCAACTTGAAGACAGGGTTCATTCGGGCAATGCACAAAATAGAAAATGAACTTGGACGGCACAGATGTTCTTAAGCTGTTTCTCTATACTCTTTTATCTCCTCCATGCTGAAGGCTGAACAACAGGAAGATGGTTGCCTACAGCAAATAGTATTTTTAATAGAAAAATGAAATGCGTATTTTTCTTACTAATTTTTTTTTATTTATTCCTTGCTAAAGAAATGGTCTCCTGAGGTCTTACGATGTCTGTGATGTTGTCTTGAGTGGGTGGGTGAGGGGCTGCAGCCCTTCCCAGTGGAAGTTCACTAGTGGGCACACCTCACCAAGACCACTCCCTTCATCCGCCTCAGAGACACAGCTGCAGGCACCCTGGCGGGGTGTTGTATTCAATAAATTTGATCTTTACTCTTCAAAGACCTGTGAAATGTTATCTTCTGAGAGGCCACATGCATGTAGGATATCGGTAGTGCTCAAGGACTCCTCAGGCCCGTTGAAGTCACAGACAGAACAAAGCAGGTCTCATCAGCAGACTGAGTCAACACGGGCCGAGGGCCTCTGTGCCCTCCACTGACACCAGGGCCAGAGATAGGCCGAGTCTCAAACACCAGTCATTAATATCCACTGATTGGCGCTTCCATGTTTGCCGCCCATCTGAAGACTCCTAGGCTGTCCTGGGCAGATAGGGTTGTCAGATTGAACAAAAGAAACGACAGAACCTCCCAAAACCCAGGTTTCCCAGTTAAATTTGAATGTCAAATAGATGAATAATTGAGTATAAGTATGTCCCGGGTAATATTTGGTACATACTTATACTATAAAAGTATTCATTTATCTGAAATTTGCATTTAACTAAGATCCTATACTTTATCTGGCAGCCCTACTGGTAAAGCACCCACCCACCCCTCTAGGCCTTGGGATCCACACTCCCCAGTGGCCTCAGACTAGACCTGACTGCCCCACAGGCGGGGTCCCCCATCAGAGCATCCCACCACTGGGCCTGAAGGCAGGGGGAGATCCAGTGCATCCTGGCTCTGCCAGTTTCCAGCTGCAGAAGCTTGAACTTTAGAACTTCAGCTGCTTTAGCTCTAAAATGAGGTTAAACTAATGGTTCTTAACATTTATAGGGTTTAGACGCCTTTGAAAATACGATGAAAGCTATAGACGCACACATACACACACAAAGTTGTGTCACAAAAATGTTATACAACTTCCCAGTTTTCAGGGCTAAAGACTCAGGCTGGAGGCAAAGGATTAGATGATTTATAACAACCTCGCCAGAGCCCCCGGGTCACTTCATCAGAGCAGGGCCATTGACGTGGAAGCTGGGAAGACTCTCTTCTTACTGCTTATGACTTATTTACGGGGCATAAGTGGGTTTTTAATTATTTATTCCTTGTCTCTATCTCTAAGGAAACCACACACGCAGGGGTCTTTCATGGTAGATGTAATGACTAAAGATTTCTCTAAATCCAGGATCCCGGTTCAGCTGTCCTAACTGGACGGCATAACCAAGCATCCAAGTCTGAGCTCATCGCTGAACAAGTGTCCCCTGGCCAACTCCACGCGAGGCCATCTTTCTCCATGGTTGAACTTATTAGTTAGAGCTCCCTCTTGTGTACCCACGTTGTATCAAGTCATTAAAGCGCTTGAAACGCTCCAAAGCAAAGGCACAGTGGAATTTTCCCCCTCGCCTGAGGAGCCACAAGAGCTCAACGACCCATTTCATGAGCCTATATTGAGCGCTCCGTGAGCATTGACTGATTAACTGAACCCTCACTCCCTGACCTAGACTCAAGATGGGCAATTTGACTCCAAGGTCAACATCCATTCATTGAACCTGATTTTTCTACCACGGGGATTTTGCCTCCCAGTTTCTAAAGAGATTTTTAGTTGTCGCACCTGAATGGGGTCGCTATTGGCATCTGGTGGGTAGAAAAGCCAGGAATGCTGCTAAATATCTTACACTGCACAGGACAGTCCCCAGTGACAAAAATTACCAAGTCCAAAACGCCAGTAGTGCCAAGGTTGAGAAACCCTGCATTAAACCAGCAGTTATTCATTTATTTACTCAACAAGCTTTGCCGGGAAAATTTCCTGGGGCCCAAAGATTGAAGAAAGAAGCTGGAAATTCTAGCATTGCATTGAGTTTATTAAGAGAATTTGTAGACAGAAGCAGCATCTTGGGCAGCAGCGAGATGATAAATCTCCAAGAAGGAATGGGGCTTGTTGTCTACAGCCAAGTGGTCTGAGTTAACACAGGTGACTTGGAGCCACATGGCTCAAGTTTGTTAAGAGCTATTAAACCCAAAGCAGAAGCAACTTAATGGGCCCACTTACCTATGCAAGACTATTCCCTTCAGGTGATACAGGCCCACCCCACCAGGGTCAGCTTGCTACGTAAGGTGGTGTGGGTACCGGTAAGTACTGGGAATTATTTCGCCTAACAAGTTTGTATCCCTCGTGCTGTTTTCTGGACATTGTTGGTAATAAGATTATAAAGTCACGCGGCATCTCCTCTCCTGGGACAAACAATACGGTAGATACAGGTTAGCTGAGAGCCAATTGCAACAGGGGGACAAATGCTGTGATGGAGAAATTCAAAGCAAATGGGGACAGAGGGAAAGGGCTCCTAACACAGACTTTGGGGAACCAAGCAAAGTGATGGTGAAGTTGGGGTCTAATTGTTGCAGGCGGCGGGGACAGTCCCAGGTGTTAGGCTGGTGGGGTCAGACCAGACCTGGGTGTGGCAACCTCAGTACTTGAATTCTGGCTAGGAAAGAATTCAGAGCCAAGACTCCAGTTATAAGAGAACATTTATTTGTAAAATCACAGAGGTAGGAGAAGTAATTCCTAGAAGAAATGGGCTTAGGAAACNAGGGGGAGGAAAGGCTCACTGTGCTCCCAGAAGGGAGAGCTCTCTGGGTCTTGGTCCTGAGGGTTTAAAGGTGGAGATTTTAGGGGAGGTCCCAGGGGACGATCTTAATAGAATATTCAGCAGTTTTCCAGGTATGTCCTTTCAGATCAGGGTCTCCACTGATTGATTGGCCAGCGCCGTGCGGGGGTCATTATCCAATGCGGCCAGTCCTGAGGTCAGCCGTGGTGTCACTTGTCTGGTTTGGCTGCTTTTCTGAGCCTGGAGCTGAATACAACTGGGGTCTAGATGTTATCTCTAGGGAGAAAAAGTCAGGGGATCCAAACCACATCAGATACGCTAGGGGAGGAAGGGCCACCCCGGGGCCAGACCTGGGTGTAGCAACCTCAGTACTTGAATTCTGGCTAGGAAAGAATTCAGCGCCCAGACTCCAATTATAAGAGACTCCTATTATAAGACTCCAGTTATAAGGAGGTCACACTCTCCAACTGTCTGTTGCTTAGGCACCCAGGGCTTTCCACCCTGGTGACCTTCAGTACCTGGCCCATTGTCCTTGCCCTGCTGGTGTCTGTCTAACTGTGGACGGCATTTCCAGGTAGACTTGGGGGGGG